AGGAACCACAGAGATAGCTGAGCAGTCTTGCAGAGGACAGGAGTTCAGTTCCCACACGGCGACTCACAATGTAACTCCAGTTCCAGGGCTCTGATGTCTTCTTCTGGCCTCCACTCTTACCTGAACACACATAACTGCTCCTCCATAGGACAGGGGTTCAATTCCCAGCACCCACATGCACACAACTGTGTGCAACTCCTGTTCCAGGGGATCTGACACCTCAAACAGACGTACATGTAAGAAAAACACCAATGCACATACATGAAAAAAAATAAAATGTGGTATATATTCACAATGGAGCACTATCCAATCATAAAGAAAAATAAAATTGGTGTTGGAGAGATGGCTCAGTGGTTAAGAGCACTCACTGGCTGCTCTTCCAGGGGACTAGGATTTGATTGCCAGCACCCACATAATGACTCACAACCATCTGTAACTCCATTTCAAAGAATCTGACAGTGAATTCTGGCGTCCTTGATACCAGACACCACACCCTTGTGATGCAGACAAACATATAGGCAAACACTTATACATATAAAATAATAAAACAGATTTTAAAATAAGAATGAAAATTACAGGAAAATGTGCAGGTAGAGGCCAGAGATCAGCCTGAGGGAGTCAATTGTCTCTTTCCAGGTGGTGGGTCCTAGAAACCAAACTCAAACCACCAGACTGGGTCTCAGGTTTTGTCTCAGGCTCAGTCCCAGACTCAATTTCAGGCTCATTCTGAAGCTTGGGTCCAGGCTCAGTCCCAGACACGGTCTCAGGCTCAGCCCCAGGCTCGGTCCCAGGTTCAGTCTCAAGTTCGGTCCCAGGCTCGGTCTTAGAATTGCTCCTAGGCTCAGTCCCAGGTGCATTCACCCACTGAGTCATCTTATCAGTGGCCTGAAGATTTTAATTTTAACCAAGTGTCTATGTTAGTCAGCCTTGCATCTTCCCATTACTGAAATAAATTCATGCGAGAAATAATTTACAAGTAGGAAAGGGGAGGGCTGGGGAGGATACAAAAGTTCACTGCCAGACATAAAGAACCAAATGAATGCTTAACAACACACCATGTTCACAGACTGGAAGGCTCAACACTGAAAAAATGGCATGGTTCCCCAAATTAATCTATCAATTCAATATAAATCCATTACAATTCCAACTGTCTCATTCACTTTCTAACTTTCCAGTCTCGCTTGAGGAGTTTGTGGGTGGATGAGAAGGGGGATTCCTGAAAAGAAGCTGCAAACCACAAACACCGACTGACTCAATAACAGAGAACTTCAATGACATGGAGAATGTTGCAAGTCCAGAGATGAATTATCTTGGGGCATAGCTACCCTCTTAATAACCGTTTATCACACTCCTCTGTGTGTGACATAACATCTTCGTGACCATTAGAGAAACCCTTTGGTTGTACAGACCCCAAGGCCCCTAGCTTCCTAACCAAAAGCTAAGAATGCCATCCAATAGCATGAAGCTTCTAGCTGGATCTCCTACTTGGTTGTCACCTGCCTGATGTTCCCACCAGCATAACTGAAAAGTGTCTTGGTCTACAACTTTCTCTGTTGTGTTCCTATACAACTTCACGAACCTGTTGATTAAGATGGACCACAGTGGTATGGGATGTCCTTGTCCTTTTATTGGTTAATGAATATAGCTTCTTTAGCCTATGGCAGGGCAGAATACAGCCAGGCTGGAAGAGATATATGGAGAGAGTAGGGTGGAGTCAGAGAGACACCATGTAGCTGCGGAAGGAGAAAGATGCTCAGAACTTTTATAGGTAAGTCACAGCCTCGTGGCAATACACAGATTAATAAAAAGGGGTTATTCAAGATGTAAGAGCTAGCTAGAAATATGCCTGAGTCATTGGTTGAACTGTGTTGTAACTAATATAGCTTCTGTGTGATTATTCTGGGTGGCTGGGAAACAAAAAGCAGTCTCCACCTACAAAATGGTGCCCATACATTTGGGGCTAATCCACGTGGCCAGCCACACACTTCGGGTCCAGGGGTTTGTATGCCTGCTCAGGGTGAGAAGAAAAGTTGCTGAGAGCATGCATGCTGCTCAGCACCCCACCTGGGAAAGCAGCTGGATTGGGTCTGCTAGGCATATACAGGCAGAAAAGCATGGGGGATTCCCATTGCCATACACAGAGACATTTCCAGGCCTCACAGTGCACTACATGGCAGATTTAGCTTTTACCCAGACAGAAAGGGTTTATGTGCTGCATGGTGCTTTCCGGAGTTAGAGTGGTGAGCAGGGCTCCCACTCAGCAGTCCCAGAGCTGGCTGTAAACTTAACTCTGCTGTATTGAAAGGCCAAGAGAGGTGGAGCCAGCATCCAGGGCTGTCACAACCACACTGCTTACCATTTTACATTGCTCCTTGTCAGAAAAGGATTTCAGATACACAGTAGGACAGATTCAGACATAAAACACCTCTAAACGAGACACAGTGTGTTTAAAAATGTACGTAGACTTGGGAGAAAGAGGGAAAAGAGTATAGACAGTTATTTTTTAAAAAGTAAAGTCTTTAAAGAGACAGTAAAAGTAATATAAAAGAGTACAGACAGTCATAGGTTAAAGGAGTAAAGAAAAATAAGCCATGTAAAGACGGAAAATACCCAGAGAGTCTGGATTATGCATATTATTGTGTTTTCTTTGAATTTTTTAACTGCGGAGAGACATTTGTTTCTGAGGGCTGCTAAATTAAACCAACATAAAGGTATCTTGACTCCAAAATTTGTGTCTAAGGAAATTTTGCTTTGGAAAAGAGATTCTGCTTTTGTTTCCACAGAAGATGAGAACCTGTAGATTCCTTCCAGGCTAATGTGGTTTGATGGAACAAGACCCCCCCCAAAAAGTTCTCCATGAACCCTGAAAATACTTCAATCAACAAAAAGCAGGAAGCAGTTTGTATAAAACAATGCCCAAATTCCCAAAATGATTATTTATAAATGCGTATCTTTACTTTAAAAGGGTTGATTGTAAGTTATTAATAGGCACAGTCAATTTCTAAAAAAAATAAATAAATAAGGGGTATATGATATAGAGATGAATACATTGGTATGGACCTTGGGCTATTAATACAAATTTAAGATTGATTTATTACACTGTGTTTATGTATTTCTCCTCTTGCTTGGGTAGTATATTTGTGCAGCTCATTTAAAAATGTAATATAAGAAAATACAAATTAATAGTCATCTATAATAGTCAAACTGTAGCTATTTTAGTTATATTTTCTAGATGTACAGAGATATATTTCAGATGAATAGGTATTCTTTAAATCTTTAAACACCTACAGAATATGGCATTTTAAATGTTTTAAGAATTTAGACTTTCTTCAACAGTGAGACATGTCTGTTTCTGGCAGCACCAATTTCTTCAGAGAGGTTAACGGGCATCAAAGAAACTTGTTGTGGAATTTGCCTTCAATGTGACAAGGCTAGCTATTTGGGCAAGAAACTGCTCTTGCCTGGACTGCTTAACGGTATGCTGTTATGAACTGGATATGCAGGACCCACAGAAAAATAACTGCTAAACTTGCCTAAAGAAAGTGAGACAGTCCTTCAAGATTTCTGCTTCATGAAAAAAAAAAATCTTCCAGACATTCTGTAGAATACAGAAGGAAGTAACTGACAAATTGCCAATATAGGCAAAGCTGTCTTTCAAATTCCCTGCTTCATGGAAAAGTTTGACAGATACTATGGGCCTGTAGGCTGACGATGGATGCTCCAACATTACAGAAGAACTTTGGGTGACTATTTAGATGTCTCTATAAATTCTAGAGTTTTGGAAGTTGCTTACACTGCACTTCCTATTTACTTAGGTAATATTATATCTTTCTGGGGTCTTTGATGGAGTTGAAGAATAAATAGTTACAATTGTAGTTTTCCCTACTTATAATAAAGAATATATTAAACATAAAACTTTGGGCTCACAAAGATAGGACTTATGATAGAATATTTTCCTTAATTTGCCAAATGTAAATGGACTAAATATTGTAACTATAATTCTTGCTTGATAACTGTTCTGTATATGTAATTTTATTATGTTAAAGTTAAAACCTTCCTTTCTATTTAGACAGAAAAGGAGAGATGATGTAGGGTGTTCTTCTGTATATGTGTTGCTTTTATTGGTTAATGAATAAAGCTACCTTTGCATATGGCAGGGCAAAATATAGCCAGGAAGAGATAGAGAGAGAGTAGGCAGAGTCAAAGAGATGCCATGTAGTTGCCAAAGGAGAAAGACGCTCAGAACATTTACAGGTAAACCACAGCCTCATGGCAATACACAGATGAATAGAAATGGGTTAATTCAAGATGTAAGAGCTAGCTAGAAATATGCCTGAGTCATTGGCCGAACAGTATTGTAATTAATATAGTTTCTGTGTGATTATTCCAGTCTGGGCGGCTGAGAAACGAAAAGCAGTCTCTGCCTACACCACAGTATTTATGGAAACCTAAATCTATGTTCTCAGGCCATGGTCTCCCATACTTGGTTCCATATCTTTTGTTCCTCTGAGGGAGGGAGGGCTGTTTCTTTCAACAGAGCAAAGCCACTAACTTTGCTAAGATATCGTGACCTTTAGGAGACACCTAGCAGGGCTGGAGAGATGACTGAATGGCTGCTCTTCCAGAGGACGTCAGCTCGATTCCCAGCATCCCCCTGAAGGCCCACAACCACCTGCATCCCCAGTTTCCGTGCATCTGATGACCTCTCTGGCCTACACAGGCACACATGTGGTGCACAGTCATGCATGCAAGCAAAATACCCAGATGCTTACAAAATAAAGTCAAATAAAAGATTTTAGGTTAAAAAAAAATTAGGAAAAGCAAAAAGGAAATACTCAGCAGTGAGTTTGGAGGTGGGATTAATCAACACTGTAGTAAATTCGGAGATTCCTTGGGTTTTGCTCAGACCTTTTTCTAAATTTAATTAGGGTTTCATAACAGTACCACAAGATTAAGCAAACTGGCCAGCAGTTTGTGTAGAAACCAGACTCACACCCACAACTACGCAGGAGCCACCCTGAGGAAGGAGCCAGTGCTCCAGGTCAGCGGGGAGGAAAGGAAAATCTTTTAAATTGCATTTCCTTTGTAGGCTTCTCACATCCTCAGCTCAGAGAAGAAAGCAGAACTCAGCCAGGCGTGATGTACGTGGTGGCACGCAGCGGCATACGCCTGCAGTCCCAGAACATGGGAAGTGGAGGCAGGAGGGTGAGCCATTACTTGAGATCCTGTCTGAAAAAGAAAAACAGAACATTTTTGTAAGGCAGGAAGACTGCAGCTCTGGATTCAGGGTGGGAAATGATCCCCTCCCCCCACAAGCCAACTTCTGTTCGGCTAAGCAGTTCCTTCCAGGAGGATGTGGGCAAAAACTTACAAGACCTTGTGATGTCCCAGTCACCCATCCTAAAACGTCACTGTACAAATCAACATAGCCTCTTGCTGCTCTGAACAGAAATAGTTTACAGAGGGGCTCTGGTGTGTCACAGGAGGCAGCCAAGAGCTTTTCAAAGGCAACTCTGCCCTGCAGGAAATGAGCCATAAACCTGTGGGATTCCCAACAGGATGATCCACTAAGTCACAGCAGGAATCTGTGCTTCTCTGAAAAAACACCAACTTGATGTCCATCAGGAAACCTGCACAGTGTGGACCTAACACAGTTGGCTTCAAGGGTGCCGAGGTGCCGTGGAGACCTGTTTCCAGGGCTGGTGAGACAGCTGAGTGGACAAGGCTGTGCAGGTCTGATGACACGGCTCAATTCCTGAACACACAGTAGAACCCACACGCTGTTCTCTGACCCCCACACACACCCTGTGGGGTGTGCACACACGATCAATTATTGAATGTATTTTCAAAAATCAGTTTTCCCAACTCCAGTAGGGCCACTAAAAGTAGACCACCACCAAGTGTGCCTCAGCATCCTCAGAGCTTCCTGTGATTAAGTGAGATCAGCAAGGTGTCCCCAGGTTGTTCCCAGTCTGGCCAGCATGTCCTCCCCACTTCTTCCTCTGGAAATGTCCCTCTCTCCTTGGCAGGAGACTTGTTTTGTTTTGGTTTAGTTTGGCTTGTTATCAAGACAGGGTTTCTCTGTGTAGCCCTGAAACTCACTGTGTACACCAGGCTGGCCTTGAACACCCAGAGATTTACCTGCTACTGCTTCCCAAGGGCTGGGATTAAAGGCATGCGCCCTCTTGCCCTGCTCATTTAAATCAAGTCCTGTGACTATATCCCGAACTACTCAAAGCCCAGAAGAACACACCCTTTGTGGGTAGTTTGTTGTATTTTTTTCCAGGAGTCAAAAATTCTTGAACTGGTGCGGAACAAACATAGACAACTACTGGAAAAACATTCTAGGAATGAGGAACAGAACGTGCAAAGGCACACAGTACGGAGAGAACATCACGTCTTGGCAGAACAAGAAATCAGTATGATCAGAACAAAGGTCTGAATGTGGACAGCAAATTCAGAGCGGGAGGCAAGACTATGAATTCTTATTAGGTTTTCTGCTTTGTCTGGTTGAGAACACACCCTCCTCCAGCCCGTCCCTTGAGGTGGTTCTGGCTCTGCAACTGGCTCATTCCTTTGCACCCATCTTACTCAGCTGTAAACAACAGGGCAGATCTGTCATCTCTGGCACCCTGCTGGGAGAGTTCTAGCTCCCTCCGTCTTCCCCAGTCTTCTCCTCTGTCTCCACTCAGGCACCTCCGCAGGTGTGCCTTCCCTTTGTGCTAAGCCTTGTAAAGCTCCTGCAGTCACTGAGCATAGACAATCGAAAGATTCCTCCTATCTGCCCCCTACCCCTGGAAAATCGCTCTCTCATTGTGTTTAACAGCTGGAAACCGTTGTTTCACAGGATGGAAAGATAGGTCTGGCCTCTGTGTATCACCCTGACACCCACGTTCCCACAGCTGCTCAAGTTGCTAGTGCCGTATTCAACTCCTTGCTCTCGGAATGCATGGCGTGGCTTCCAACCAGATTCAAGACAAAGTTTCCTATATTGGCTGTGCTCCGGAATTCATTTGCTGATCACTTGTGCTGTAATTCGAGAGCCTTCGTCATGTCAGAAAAGGAGGGCAGTGTTAGTCCACAGCATGCAGCGTCAGTATCGGCAAATATTACAGTCAAACACCTTTGGCAAGCAGGGCTTTCGCACACCAAGCAGCTACAATCACTGACCATCACGTTGGAAAGAATGTGAGGGCTGTGGGGTGTGTGGGTTTCCTCTGGGTGTGTTAGAGAACTTAGAAAAAGCCTATGATGAAGTCAGAGCTCCAGGCCCCCCAAGGTACATGGACAGAATACAAGAAAACATGGGGTCTTAAGGGAATGAACTCAGGCTGGTGTCAAACTTGAGATTCTTCTGCCTCCGCCTCAAGGGCTGGGATCTCAGATGTGTACCATTGTGCTTAGAAAGAATTTTATTTCTTATAATGCAAAGTCTAGATTTCTGAAAACCCCAAACCAGAATCTGCTCTCGTGGGTGACCAAACTACATATAAATTAAATTCCCCTCCTTTTCAGCATGACTGAGAGATCATATTGGTGGTAAAGAAACAATGGATTATGAGGTTATAAAATTATAATGGGAATGTTGGGTAAATTCCAACCCTCTCAATCCCCAAACTGTACCAGTCAGTGTTCCTTCACAACAAAAACAGCCCTTCCACCCATCCGAAGACGTCAGCTAAGGCAGGTGTGGTGGCGCTGGGGAGGCAGAAGCGGATCTCCACTAGCCTGTCTACAGAGTGAGTTCCAAGACAGCCAGAGCTGCACAGAAAGACCTGTCTCAAGAAAGAAAGGAAGAAAGGAAGGAAGGAAGGAAGGAAGGAAGGAAAAAAAGAAAAAGCCACCTTCTCCCTTCACAGTGGTTGTATACTCAGCTTCTTTGAGGTGGCCACCTCCAGGGGCAGGCATTCTGATTGTTCTTGAGACCCACGCGCTGGTCCCAGCACTTCCAGACACATCACAACACTCAGGTCCTAACAGATCCAAAGAGAAGGACTATGGAGCATGCCTGGAAAACAAATACCAGAAGCAACAAACTCCAGGCTTTACCAGTTTGTATCTGAAAATCCCTGGGGAACATTTACCATATTTTAAGGCTGTTGCAGCAGGGAGAAAGAAATGAATTTTTTTTTACATGTATTATTTATTTGTTTGTCTCAGGGTTGGGGATACATATGCCATTGGTGCACATGGAGAGAAGTCAGAAAGCAGCAGAAAGGCTGTTCTCTCCTTCCACAGAGTGGGTTCCAGGTTCAGGTTGTCAGACTTGGTCCCCTTACCTACTGAGCCATCTCGCCAGTTCAGATACATAATTTTTGATTATGATCATGCTGAATTTATTGATTAGATGTGAACTTGGCATAAGTATGTTCATCTATAGAAAGCTTACTGAAATGGTTGTCTGAAACCTTAACAGTGAACCTACAATAAGAAGAAATGCCCAAACCTCCTTGATACACTGAAGGACAAGATCTCTAAAGGCTCCGGAAACCGGGAACCGCACTCAGCAAGAAGCCCCAACCTCAGAGAGCATTTACCTAGCAGGGTGAGCAGTAAGCTCTCCTCTGCACTGCACCCACCCTCCAGGCCTTTGTCAAAGCCTACCCTTCACCAATCGAGCTGTGCTGAACTAGCAAACAGTGCCCGCCACCCTGGTGAGACATTTATGTGCAGGAAGTGTGGGAGGGGAGCATTCCACAGAAATTAGCTCACCTACCATTTTGTGAAAGCTCTTGCTTCCAGTTGTATCTGATACCTCCAAGCATCCCCTCCACGGTGAAGGAAGAAGCGCTCGGCCTTTGGAGTGGGGAAGCCCTGGAGATCTATCCCACGGGGCACAACACTATGGCCTACTTAGTAACCCCCGAGAGCGCCACAGGGTGGCAGCATGGGGCCTTGGAAAGTTGCCCGGTTTCAAAAAGACGGGTGACCTTGAGTTTCAGTGGCGTGTGGAAAGCAAAAAAAAAAAAAAAAAAAAGCAGCTTCCTCATAAGGTTACAGCAATTATAAAATGAAGCAACAGACAAGAAAGTTCTTTGAGGTGCACATCTCTGGGTGTCAGCCCAGAGTAAAACTTTCCTCACGATTGTCAAAACTAACTCTCTCTCTCTCTCTCTCTCTCTCTCTCTCTCTCTCTCTCTCTCTCTCTCCCTTAACTTTTATCATAGATACAGAATTACATTGAAAAAATAAAATAAAAACAGCAGTGGGCCCGTGAGATGGCTCGCGCTCGCTCAGTGGGTGAAGAAGGGCGCTTGTGGGACAAGCCTGATAACCGGAGTTAGATCTCCCGGACCCACATGGTAGGAGAACAGACTCCAGCCCCGTTATCATCTGACCTCCACATACACAAACATCCGCGCCCGCGCGCGCGCGCGCACACACATACACACATACACACACACGGCACGCACACACACGCTACAGTAATAAAGTAATTTAAAAAAAAAAGAAACAACAATTTGGAGATCTTTTAAAATAACAATAATGCAACCACAGCCGTCTAACACTTGAGCTACAACGCTGGCAAAGTGGCCATCAGTCCTGAAGTGGGACGAGAGCGAGCGAGAGAACGGGGCCTGGAATTTACCCGCTGCCTGCCCAGAACTGTTGGGTGAGTACGCATTTGTCCTTTCCCGCCGCTGAAAGGACTTGTTCTAGGCTCAGCCATCCATGCCTCTCTACTCAAGATAGAGTTCTGCGCATCCCTTCCAGAATGTACCAACACTGACCAGCAGAGGGCGGCAGCTCCCCATTCATGGGCCAGCGCACAGCTCCATGGCTTCAGTTTCAAAATTTTGGGCTTCAATCCCAGCAGACTGTTTTGGATCTTGGATTAGGGACCTCATCTCTTCAAACTGTGGTTTCCCTATCTGGAATTATGGAATAATTAAATATAAAGAAACAAACAAATAAATAAATAAGTAGATAAATAAATTAGTGGAACTGATGATCCCCATAAGGTTAGTGAGATGATATGGATAAACGGCAAGACATTTTCCAAACATTAGTTGCTCTTAAACAGCAAAATAATGGATCTGATTTGATTCGATTTTCACCAGGCAAAAGATGAAAAATACAGTTCCCATTTTTCAGATGAAGAAACTGAGGCCAAAGGGAATTCCACAAGACTGAGGACTCATGAGGCAAACAGCAGTTTTACATTCAGTTCCTACAAAAGCCATGGTTTATTTACAGTAATGGACGTTTGCCTTAAGAAGTTCGTCCATAACCCTCTGAAAGTCTGTGATCCCAAGGCCATAGGAAGTCAGTGGCCAACTTAGGACCTAAGGATTGAACAAACTGAGTTCCCAGCCCAGTGATCCATCTGCCTTGCTGTTCTGCTTGTCAGTGCTTGGGTGGCTTCCCACGGGTGAATCTTGTTTTCCTGACTATACCGGGAGCTAAAAGAAGGGCAGCTTCCTCAAGGAGAGAACTGGCTGCGAAAAAAGCATTTGCTACGTTAAACAAGACTCAGAAAACAGCAGGAACAGATCTCAGTGTATATTCACATACACACGTGGGCAGATGCTCCAGCCAGGTTTGGTGGCACATGCCGGAAATCCCAGCACTCAAGGGGCAGGAGGACTGTGTGTTTCAGGCTCTTCAGGGAAACCGTGTCTCAAAAGTACTAGAAGTCACAGGCTAGAGAGATGTCTCGGAGGTTCAGAGTGTTTGTTGCTCCGTCATAAGGATCAGAGTTTGGATTCCAACAGCCATGTCGGGTGGTTTGTGATCACCTGGACCCTCTTCTGCCCTCTTCAGGGTATGTTTCTAGAATTCTCTGGGGAACATGTCTTGCTGTTATGCAGGGCAAATCATTCACATGTGTATTACGTTGCTTTGTTTTCCACTTAAAAGATTATGGCATTAGGAGGCAAGAATCACGCTCTGTCCGTTCCACTAACTGGCCGCGCTGAGCCTCGGTTCCTCTGCCTGAGCCGTGGGAAGCACAATCTCTACCCTGTTTCACCAGGAGGCTCACAATCTTGCAGCCTCCAGTCATCCCCTAGGCCTCGGCCATGCTTCTGGGCAGAGGTGAGGCCTGCCTCTGCTTCGTTCCCCAATGTCCCAGTGAATTCCTCAGCTGGCCAAAGCCTACCACAGATGTCTCCACGTTGTCTCTGCATCGCTCAGAGCTCTCCAGGCAGGGAGTCTCTGTGTAACCCTGGCTGGCTTAGAGCGTCCTATGTAGACCAGCTGGCCTCCAACCCACGGAGATCTACTTGTCTCTGTCTGCCTAGAGCCGGGACTAAAGGCGTGTGCCACCACATCCAGCAGTCCTTCCTGAGACAAACCAGTGGAGTCTTCTGACTGGCAGCCACCTGGGTTTCCTCAGCCCCTCTGGCTGCTGTTCTCATCTTGTGGAAGAGTACCTGGGGCCCATTCCTGTCTCTTTAGACTCTTTTTTTAAAAAAAAAAATATTTGTTTATTTATTATGTATACAACATTCCTTCCATGCCTGCCTGCATGCCAGAAGAGGGCACCAGATCTCATTATAGATGGTTGTGAGCCACCATGTGGTTGCTGGGAATTGAACTCAGGACTTTGGAAGAGCAGGCAATGCTCTTAACCTCTGAGCCATCTCTCCCGCCCCCTCTTTAGACTCTTTAGATGATGTCAACCAAACCTACACTGCCGAGCACCAAAGAGGCCCTCACTCCCACATCAGCTCCGTCTGCCTCCTGGAGCCCTGGGCCTGGAAGCAAATGTGGATGAGGCCCACCCTCTGCCAAGCACAGGAGGCTTCCTAGGCGTGGCCACCCAGAGCCAAAACACAGGGCCACTTGATGGGCGTTTTCTCTCACCTTCCTCTCTAACGCTCTGAGGACTCCCCCAGCCTCTTCTTCATCCAGAGATATCATTAGGGACCTCCAGACACTCTCCAGGGACCAGCACCCTACTGGTCCCCTGACTTGACTTCTTTATTCTGGACTGGTCAAAAATACAGGCAGTAGTGGTGATGTTTGGAGGTTTTGGTTTTATTTGTTTTAAGGTTTTTTGTTTCTGGTGTTTTTTGTTTGCTTGGTTGGTTTGGTTTTTGGTTTTGGTTTTTGAGACAGAGTTCTCTTTGTAGCCCTGGTTGTAGACCAGGCTGGTCTCAAACTCAGAGAGATCCACCTGCTTCTGCCTGCCTCTGCCTCCCAAGTGCTGGGATTAAAGGCATGTGCCACCTCTGCCCAACAAGATTTATTTTTATTTTATGTGTAAGTGTATTCTGTAAACGTGTATGCAAGTGCACACTGTGTATACAAAGCCAGAGGAGGCCAGAAGGAAATATCAGCTATACCCTGGAACTAGAGTTAAAGCAGACTGTGAGCTGCCATTTGGGTGCTGGGAACCAAATCTGGGCCCTCTGCAAGAGCGGCAACTACTCTTAGCCACCGACCCATCTCTCCAAACCCTTCATTTTGTTTCTGAGACAAGGTCTCAATTTTGAAATAAGTTCTCATGTAGCCCAGGCTGGCATCAGACTTAGTCTACAACCAAGCAAGGATGACCTGGGCCTCCTGATCCTCCTGCCTCCTGCTGGGACTGCAGGTGTGCACCCGAGTGCCAGGCCTTTCGTCATCACTGTGACTGAGTACTTCCTACGCATCAGGCGCTGAGGGATTTATCTGCACTTCACGTATTTATCCTTCACAGTCGTGAGAAAGAAGGACTATTACCAGCTGAGACAAGGGACGCAGAGTATTGAAGCGACACGGTCAGGGTTACACAGTTAGCAACAGTTCCCACTCAGGCTTGCATCCATAGCTGCATTCATAGCTCTGGACTCTGTAGCTGGCTCTGTCTGCAGAGCACGGGGCATCCCTTATCCACTCTGCTGCATGCTCTTCTGCCTCTGAGCAAAGCAACCACGGGGTAACAGCTCCTCCATCCCCCTGGCTTCTGGGGACCCCTCTGTGTAGCTCAGACCCTTTCCAGCTACCTTCCCACCTGCCTCCTGACTGCACCCCTCACCTGCCCCCTAAGCCCACCCCATCCGGAGTAATTATCAGGCCCACCCTACCTCCACACATCAAAACGTTCCCATCCTTCAAGCCAGACAAAATGTCTTTTCTTGAGTGTGCTAAAAGAGTCATGATGGGGGACAGGCTTTTGGGGACAGTGGATCCGAGAGCATAGACAACGTAGGACCCAGATTCTCAAGGAACCTTCTTGATCTGAGAGTCTAGAATCCTTGCTTTCAGGAGGCCCTGGAGACAAAGGTAGGGTTGGCCTTTTAAGTCCCTTAGTATTTACAGAATGAAGAGAATGTCAGACCTGGGAAGGACTTCAGAGAAAACGAATCCCATACCCTTCACTTTTCCCCCCAGGGTTGCCTACGCCCAGGGAGGGGCAGAGGCCTGGCAAACCATCTGGTTAGAGGTGGGAGGAAAAGCTGTGCTCTCTTGTCTACTGGAGGACCCATCTCAGCCGGTCCCCTGTCTGCCAAGAAAGGAGTGGGAGGAGCCTGGAAGAGCAAAAGCAAAAGCTTGGCTCTGAGCCGGCCTGGCCTGCTCAGCTCCAGACCTCAGTAGTTTTCCATAGCCAGCAAGGGCCAGCAGCCCGGACCATGTGCTCCCCTCTCCCCTTGCCCTCCACATTCCTCTGCATATTCAGGCAGCACACACAGTGGCATCCAGGGCCCTGCTGGGGCTGGAGAAAAAGCAGGGATAGGGGCAGAAACCCAGATGTATGCAAGACATCCAGATAAGGGTTTGGCCAGAAACGCACGGGTCAGGAGTGATCACAAAGACATCAGGCAGGTGAAGGGTCCCAGACCCGCACAGCTACATTCATCCATTGCTCCAAAGATATGGTAGTCCCTTTCACAGAG